AGCACCTTAAATTAATAGAAACGCCTTAAGTGGTCCTTTTATTTTTTTTATAATGCTTTAATTTATTAATTATTTAAGGTATTTCTGTACATAACTGTCTTAAATAATCATCTTTTATAATATATAAATTGGATCATTTAAGACGTGTTTATTCACAAACGCCTTAAATGATCATTTAAAGCATTTTTCCAAACAAATGCCTTAAAAGATAATTTAAGGCATTTTTCTTCACAAATGCTTTAATTCATCAATTAAGGCATTACATCTTAATTGATCTACAATTAAGGCATTTTTTCATGTCAAACACCTTACTTTTAATGAAAAAAATAAAAAAAATTAAACTAACAAAAACCTACAACTGAATTCTAGTCACTTTTAGATATATTTTTCAGATATATTTTTCAAAAGAGTAACAGCTATATAATAATTTTATATTCAGATCAAATTTTGAAATAAGGTAACTTTCTTTCGAAATCTTAGAATACTATAGAGAGAGGTGGATTTCTAATTTTGATATTTTGAGTGCTATTGAAAATTTGACATTTTCTTCCCTAATCGAATGACCCTGAACTAAATGTAAGAATGAAATTCCCACTATCAAGATTTTGAAAGAAAATTTGTGAATTCCTCCAAACTAAATGCACTCTAAAAAATTTCCACCTTTTTCATTTTCTTCTTTTCTCTCTCTAGTTCTTCTTTCTCTTTAATTCATCTATGTCTAAAATCAGCAGCCACTATCATTTCTATAATTCGGTGCGATGCTAGTCATTTATGCCAGACTTCGCCAACCGACATTTGAATCCCTAAAAAATCCTTCATTTGATCTCTCCCTTTTTTCTAAGAATGGATTTTTCAAAACCTTCTTATTGATATCTAAATTCCCTTTTACCAGTTCACTGGTGAAAACCTACTCACCACTATCAGTCGCATTTATTGTCATCGTACGCCAATGGTTGCTAGATATCCTATTACCTTTATTTTTTTCGCTATTCTTCTTTCCCTTTCTTTTTCCTTCTCTCTTGCCATTCACTTGAAAACCTACCTTACTATTCCTTCTCACTTTATTTTTTGAGTTGTTTTTTTTCTTTTTTTTTTTTTTTGTCTTTAGTCTTGGAACATTGGTCTTTGGGTAACAAATAATGTTCTTTAGGCTACAACAAAAAAAACCCACCACAAAAAATCTGAGAATCAAACTGAAAATGGCAACTTACAATAAAAAATTACAACATCACATAAATAGAAATCCATAAAAACATGCAAAAAAAAAAAAAAAAAGCTAAGGTTTCAAGCTTGAGGGTATCTCTTAAGGGGCATTTGGTTCATGGAATCTTGGATCCCGAAAAAAAAGTGTGATCCCCAGAAAAGTGCGATACTCGATATCTTTTTTCATTTTTAGGGTATCCCATATTCAGATTCACTCATTTAATTAGAAAAAATCTACATATATTAATTTCTAAATAATTATCATAATCTCTTTAACATATATGATGACAACTTTTTATTAGTTTTTATTAATAATAAATACCTAAATGATAAATGATGCTTTTAACAGCAAAAGAAGATAAATATTTTATTTTATTGTTATTTTTATTTATAAAATATCATCAATAAAAAAATATTGAGAATTATTTAAGGCATTTTTGGTTAGGAAATGCCCTAAATAATCCCTTTTATTTTTTTAAATGGAATTATTTAAGACATTTTTTGTCTAAAAGTACCTTAAATAAATGCCATTTAAAAATTATAAGAGAATTATTTAAGGTATTTTTGGCCCAAAACTACCTTAAGTAATCTCTAATATTTTTTTTAAGTGGACTATTTAAGATTTTTTTTTTTGTCAAAAATACCTTAAATAAGCTCTAATATTTTTTTAAGGGAAAACACTTTAAATAATACCCTTCAATTTTTTGAAGGGTATTATTTAAGGTATTTTTTTACTAAAAAAGTCTTAAATAATCTTTAATATTTTAAAGGGGATTATTTAAGGTATTTTTAGTCAAAAATACCTTAAATAATCTCTCATTTTTTACCAAAAATATCTTAAATAATCCTTAATATTTTTTAAAGAGAATTATTTAAGGCATTTTTGGTAAAAAAAAAAACTTAAATAATACATGTATCTTTTTTGGATCGTATTATTTAAGGCATCTTTTTATTAAAAATGCATTAAATAATCTCTTTCATTACTTATAAGATTTAAGAGATAAAATATATAAAAAAAATGGAGTAACTCAGTTGGTTAGAGTATATGGTTATGAATCATAAGGTTGTAGGTTTGACCCCTCCTTTTAGTGATTTAACTTTTTTAAGGAGATTATTTAATATATTTTTGGTCAAAAACACATTAAATAATACCCTTCAACTTTTTGGACCATATTATTTAAGGTATTTTTGACTAAAAATATTTTAAATAATCCATTTTATTACTTATAAGATTTAAGACATAAAATATAAAAAAATTAGAATAGCTTAGTTGGCTAGAGTATATGGCTATTAACCATAAGGTCATAGGTTTGACCATTTCCTTTAGCATTTTTTAGGATCATTTAAGGCGTTTTTGGCCAGAAAACGCCTTAAATAATGCTAATCAATTTTTTTAGATAATTATTTAATACTACAAAATTATTTTCACATACTGACGGTCAAATTCTGTTAGTAAAAGAGATTTTTATTGATAGATTTTTAATATCGTCAAAATATATCATACTTATACCAATATTTTATTTAACCGTCAGTATAAATAAATTTTTTTTTATGGTATATGACTATCTGTTAGTATAAATATGTTATATATTGACGGTTATTAATGTAACCATCAGTATATGCTAAAAAAAAATTATTGGCTTACAAAAAATTAAATGGGATTATTAAAGGCGTTTTTTTACTAAAAATGCATTCAATAATTCATTTAAAAAAATTTTGGAAAGGGATTATTAAAAGCACTTTTGGCCAAAAACACTTTCAATAATCCATACAAAAAATTTTTATATGGATTATTTACTAACGGTTCAATTTTGTCAGTAAAAAAGACTTTTACTGATAGATTTTTAATATCATCAAAATATACCATATTTATACTATACTTATACCAATACTTTATTTAACAGTTAGTGTAAATAAACTTTTTCTAATGATATATGACTATCTGTCAATATAAATATTATATACTGACGGATATTAATATAACCGTCAGTATAGGCTCAAAACAAAAAAACTATTAGCTTACAAAAAATTGAATAGGATTATTGAAGGCATATTTGGCAACAAATACCTTTAGTAATCCATTCAAAAAATTTTGAAAAGAAAAAATTAATGGCATTTTCAATAAAAAATGCCTTTAATAATCTATACAAAAAATTTTGTTAAGGCATTTTTGAGAAAAAATGCCTTTAATAATCCCTCATAAAAATTTATTCAGGGGATTATTAAATGCATTTTTAGCCAAAAATACCTTTAATAGTCTCTGAAAAATTTTGAAATGGATTATTGAAGGCGTTTTTGACAAAAAATGCCTTCAATAATCCAAAATCACCTTCAATAATCTTTCATAAAAATTTATTGATAGGATTATTCAAGGCATTTTTGGTCAGAAATACCTTAAATAGCCTCAATGAATATTTTGTAAGAGATTATTTAAGGCGTTTCTAGCAAAAAAACACCTTGAATAATCTAAAAAAAAATGGTAGGCTTATAAATTTAAATCATTTTCTTTGCCTCCACCTCCCACTGACTCTACATACGTAATCTTCACTTCCCACCAACTCTCTCCACCCATCGGTACCTATAGCCTAATCTCCACCTCCCACCAACTCTCTCCACCTCTCACCAACTGTACAAATTTAAACCCATCGGCATCCATTTTGTTTTAGAGCTGAATCAAAATTGAAGCATAAAGAATCTCATCATTTCTCAAAGGTATTTTTCATTTTTTACATTTTAATTTTGTGTCATCGAGCATGCCTTTTTTTTATACTTTTGGTTGTATTGAATGAATCTATGCTTAGTCTATGTCACTTCAAAAAGTAAAAAAAGGCCTGAAATGTTATTAGCAACACTGTTTTTGTCAATGGAACAGCTTCAATAGGAAAAATAAATGAAAACTTCATCTGTTCTACTGTGAATTGGTGGCCTCTTAATAAATGTGACTATGGAACATGTAGCTAGGGAAGAGCTTCTCTTCTTAATCTAGTAAGTAGCTTATTCTTAGGCTTCTTGGATAAAAGCATCATAGAAAAAAATCCTTCTTTATGAAATTTTAATGTTTGCTTTACTTTTACAAAATTTCTTAAATAACAATTTGGCTTATAAGGAAATGAATTGTGTGGCTTCAATGTTGGAACAGGAGTTGCAGTAGATCAATATACATATGATGTGAACAATCTTCAAAACGTTGTTCAGAATATATATAGAGGATTTGAGATTTAGTCATTAGTAATAGCACCGGGAGGATTCTTTGATACAAACTTTGAGCACCAAGTTTGTAGATATTCAATCATAGATATTAATGTTCTTTTTTTTCTAGATTTCATACAATGATGTTAGTTCTTGACTTATTTTAAATTTGTAGATTATAAAACAATTTGGTTGTTGTTTTATTTCAAATGTTATTAAATATTTTTACTTTTTTTTGTATTTTTACTTTATATGAAATCATATCATATTATGATTATTAATAAATTAATATTAATAATTGAAAACATAATTCAAAAAATATTTTTACCGACGCTTTAAAATTTATACTGACGCGTTTTACTATTGAAATATTTTAGGCCATACTAACAGTCATCACAGATCATCAGTAAAAGTTAAAACACGTAAGGCTATACTAACGAACATTGACCGTTGGTAAAAGATATACTAATAGAGACATCGTCGATATTAGTTGAAAAAAATTAAAAGATACGAGTCTATACTAATGGGCATTAACTGTCAGTGTAGACAAGAAAAATTAAAACATACAAGTTTATATTGACAGGTGTTCACCATCAGTAAAAGGTATAATGGTGGAACACACAACAGATGTTATACCAATAGATATACATTTACTGACAGTCTTAAACCGTAGGTATATCTCTTTAAGCTATTCTGACACCTTAAAAATCGTCAGTATAGTTTTGTACTGATAAAAGATATATTGACGGTTAAAAATTCATCAAAATATATATTTTGACCATTAGTATAGGGTTTATGGTACTATACAGATGAATTTTGGAGTTTTATCGATGCTTTTTTTATTGTCATTATATGTCAAATTTCTTATAATATAAGAAAATATCTTAAATAATGCTAATCAATTTTTTGGTTTTGCTTTAGGCATCGATGAGGTGAAATGGATTTTTAAGGGAAGAGTCGTGGGTTTCAAGTTTAGATTTATCAAATTCTAGGTTTTTTGGCAAAATCTAAATTGCATGAAAGGTTGAGGTGATTGAGAGGATTATTCGGATTTTTTTGGACGAATTTTGACATCAAGTAGTAGCGATCAACGATTGTCGGAGATGATGGAGACGGCAGCGAATCCTTCAATTTTGAAAATGGGGACATTTGATTTGAATTTTGAAGAACTTGAGAGAGATGGGATAACATAGAGACAGAAGGAGCTGGGAACAAATGAAATAAGGAAAAAAAAAAATGGAAAACTCAAAATTTAATATTTAAAAATAAACTAACAGTTTTCCTTTATTTTTAATTTTGCAATTTTATTTTTTCTAATATTTTTAAAATTCACAAAATTTAAAAATGTATTTTGGTTTAAAATAATTTTTAGTCTTTGTAAAAAATAAAATATCCCTGTGGCAGTTGAAGTTACATAGTATTAGCTGACATTTAATGTTTATATTGACAAAAATACTGAATCAACGATCAAAACGTTAGATATTACGAATATGAGGATCACCAAGTGGCATTTATAAGAATAAATATTAAAACAATGTTTAATTTAAAATTCAGAGATCATGTGTGCACACTAGTAACTTTTTTTTTCTCTCAGGTGTCTGGCAATTCGAAGGATATGGTTACGTACCCAGTCGCAATGAAACCAACGGTGTGTGCATCATGCAAGTTCTTGGGGGAAATCCACACGCCATAACTTTAATCCTGAGACTCTCCAAAGATTCACTCTATTACTGCAACGGAGGTCCAGTTGTGTTAGAGAATGTTTACGACAGATGGTTTCGGCTTAATGTAATTCATGATGTCGAAGCTTCGAAATTACAGATTTATGTCGATGGTGTTCTAAAGCTGTAACTTCTTGGGCGTGGAGGGACAAACCATTACTTTAAATTTGGGGTTTATGCACAATATGACTCTTCCTACAACATGGAATCACATTGGCAGGGCATCAAGGTTATGAAAAAAACTGTTGGGAATATTGACTCAAATCCCATAAGAGATTTGTTAGAGATTTGTTTGAGATTTGTCAGATATTGCTTGATGGACAAGAAGACTTGCAAAAGAAGAATTCTAAGAGAAAGAGGATTTTTAATAGGTAAGTTTGACTTGCAAGAGAATAATTCTAAAAGGAAAGGGATTCTTAATAAGCAAGTTTAACTTACAGGAAAAAAATTCTAAGAGGAGAGGGATTCTTAATGGGCAAGTTTGTATGGTTATAAATAGGTGAAGTCTCTACAGGGTTAGGTATGAGAAAAAGATGTAAGAGAGTTGTAGGGTTTTATGGGATAGACACCCTATAAGAGTATTGGGGCTCTATGGGTGTGTATGTTTGTTTGTGAGTAGACTAGAGGAGACTAAGAGGGTCCACATAGGTATGATGTATGGGAGCATATGGGTATGTGTTTGGTTATGTTGAAAGAGTGCACAAGAGTTTGGGTTTGTGTTTGTTTGGGTAGAGAATACTTCATAGGACTATAGGAGATTGAGAGTGTCTTATGAATATTGATTGTTGAGTGAGGTTGATGATTTGATGCATGTTTGTAATTCTCTAAAACTAGTGGATCTTGTTTCTCATCCGTGGATGTAGGTCAGTCGGACCGAACCACGTTAAATTATTGTCTCTTTTGTGTTTGATTTATTGTTTGATTTCGCTTCCGCTGGTGTGATTAGATTGGAGGCTTTTAGCCCAACAAATGGTATCAGAGCTGTGGTGTTCCCCAACAAGTGGTATCAGAGCTGAAGGTTTGAAATGTGAGAAGAGTTGAAGATTCAAGATGTGAAAAGAGCCGAAGGTTCGAGATGTGAAAGAGCTGAAAGTTCGAGATGTGGGAAGAGCTAAAGGTTTGGGAAGTGCATGATTTGAGACATGGAAAGAAGCAAGTTCAGAAGAGCTCGATCCGAGAGAAGAGTTCAAGTTCAAGTTTTGAAGATTGAGAATTGGTTTGTATGAAGCGTGAAGACACAAGAGAAGAGAAGATGATTGTGAGACTTTCATTGTAGGTGAAGCCAAGCATGTCTAACATGAAGATAGATGATTGATGGAATTTGAGTCAAGGTGAAGATTATTGGGAATATTGACTCAAATCCCATAAGAGATTTGTTAGAGATTTGTTTGAGATTTGTCAGATATTGCTTGATGGACAAGAAGACTTGCAAAAGAAGAATTCTAAGAGAAAGAGGATTTTTAATAGGTAAGTTTGACTTGCAAGAGAATAATTCTAAAAGGAAAGGGATTCTTAATAAGCAAGTTTGACTTACAGGAGAAGAATTCTAAGAGGAGAGGGATTCTTAATGGGCAAGTTTGTATGGTTATAAATAGGTGAAGTCTCTACAGGGTTAGGTATGAGAAAAAGATGTAAGAGAGTTGTAGGATTTTATGGGATAGACACCCCATAAGAGTATTGGGGCTCTATGGGTGTGTATGTTTGTTTGTGAGTGGACTAGAAGAGACTAAGAGGGTCCACATAGGTATGATGTATGGGAGCATATGGGTATGTGTTTGGTTATGTTGAAAGAGTGCACAAGACTTTGGGTTTGTGTTTGTTTGGGTAGAGAATACTTCATAGGACTATAAGAGATTGAGAGTGTCTTATGAGTATTGATTGTTGAGTGAGATTGATGATTTGATGCATGTTTGTAATTCTCTACAACTAGTGGATCTTGTTTCTCATCCGTGGATGTAGGTCAGTCGGACCGAACCACGTTAAATTGTTGTCTCTTTTGTGTTTGATTTATTGTTTGATTTCGCTTCCGCTGGTGTGATTAGATTGGAGGCTTTTAGCCCAACAAATGGTATCAGAGCTGTGGTGTTCCCCAACAAGTGGTATCAGAGCTGAAGGTTTGAAATGTGAGAAGAGTTGAAGATTCAAGATGTGAAAAGAGCCGAAGGTTCGAGATGTGAAAGAGCTGAAAGTTCGAGATGTGGGAAGAGCTGAAGGTTTGGGAAGTGCATGATTTGAGACATGGAAAGAAGCAAGTTCAAAAGAGCTCGATCCGAGAGAAGAGTTCAAGTTCAAGTTTTGAAGATTGAGAATTGGTTTGTATGAAGCGTGAAGAAACAAGAGAAGAGAAGATGATTGTGAGACTTTCATTGTAGGTGAAGCCAAGCATGTCTAACATGAAGATAGATGATTGATGGAATTTGAGTCAAGGTGAAGATTATTGGGAATATTGACTCAAATCCCATAAGAGATTTGTTAGAGATTTGTTTGAGATTTGTCAGATAGTGCTTGATGGACAAGAAGACTTGCAAAAGAAGAATTCCAAGAGAAAGAGGATTTTTAATAGGTAAGTTTGACTTGCAAGAGAATAATTCTAAAAGGAAAGGGATTCTTAATAAGCAAGTTTGACTTACAGGAGAAGAATTCTAAGAGGAGAGGGATTCTTAATGGGCAAGTTTGTATGGTTATAAATAGGTGAAGTCTCTACAGGGTTAGGTATGAGAAAAAGATGTAAGAGAGTTGTAGGATTTTATGGGATAGACACCCCATAAGAGTATTGGGGCTCTATGGGTGTGTATGTTTGTTTGTGAGTGGACTAGAAGAGACTAAGAGGGTCCACATAGGTATGATGTATGGGAGCATATGGGTTTGTGTTTGGTTATGTTAAAAGAGTGCACAAGAGTTTGGGTTTGTGTTTGTTTGGGTAGAGAATACTTCATAGGACTAGAGGAGATTGAGAGTGTCTTGTGAGTATTGATTGTTGAGTGAGGTTGATGATTTGATGCATGTTTGTAATTCTCTACAACTAGTGGATCTTGTTTCTCATCCGTGGATGTAGGTCAGTTGGACCGAACCACGTTAAATTGTTGTCTCTTTTGTGTTTGATTTATTGTTTGATTTCGCTTCCGCTGGTGTGATTAGATTGGAGGCTTTTAGCCCAACAAATGGTATCAGAGCTGTGGTGTTCCCCAACAAGTGGTATCAGAGCTGAAGGTTTGAAATGTGAGAAGAGTTGAAGATTCAAGATGTGAAAAGAGCCGAAGGTTCGAGATGTGAAAGAGCTGAAAGTTCGAGATGTGGGAAGAGCTAAAGGTTTGGGAAGTGCATGATTTGAGACATGGAAAGAAGCAAGTTCAGAAGAGCTCGATCCGAGAAAAGAGTTCAAGTTCAAGTTTTGAAGATTGAGAATTGGTTTGTATGAAGCGTGAAGACACAAGAGAAGAGAAGATGATTGTGAGACTTCCATTGTAGGTGAAGCCAAGCATGTCTAACATGAAGACAGATGATTGATGGAATTTGAGTCAAGGTGAAGATTGTTGGGAATATTGACTCAAATCCCATAAGAGATTTGTTAGAGATTTGTTTGAGATTTGTCAGATATTGCTTGATGGACAAGAAGACTTGCAAAAGAAGAATTCCAAGAGAAAAAGGATTTTTAATAGGTAAGTTTGACTTGCAAGAGAATAATTCTAAAAGGAAAGGGATTCTTAATAAGCAAGTTTGACTTACAGGAGAAGAATTCTAAGAGGAGAGGGATTCTTAATGGGCAAGTTTGTATGGTTATAAATAGGTGAAGTCTCTACAGGGTTAGGTATGAGAAAAAGATGTAAGAGAGTTGTAGGATTTTATGGGATAGACACCCCATAAGAGTATTGGGGCTCTATGGGTGTGTATGTTTGTTTGTGAGTGGACTAGAAGAGACTAAGAGGGTCCACATAGGTATGATGTATGGGAGCATATGGGTATGTGTTTGGTTATGTTGAAAGAGTGCACAAGAGTTTGGGTTTGTGTTTGTTTGGGTAGAGAATACTTCATAGGACTATAAGAGATTGAGAGTGTCTTATGAGTATTGATTGTTGAGTGAGATTGATGATTTGATGCATGTTTGTAATTCTCTACAACTAGTGGATCTTGTTTCTCATCCGTGGATGTAGGTCAGTCGGACCGAACCACGTTAAATTGTTGTCTCTTTTGTGTTTGATTTATTGTTTGATTTCGCTTCCGCTGGTGTGATTAGATTGGAGGCTTTTAGCCCAACAAATGGTATCAGAGCTGTGGTGTTCCCCAACAAGTGGTATCAGAGCTGAAGGTTTGAAATGTGAGAAGAGTTGAAGATTCAAGATATGAAAAGAGCCGAAGGTTCGAGATGTGAAAGAGCTGAAAGTTCGAGATGTGGGAAGAGCTAAAGGTTTGGGAAGTGCATGATTTGAGACATGGAAAGAAGCAAGTTCAAAAGAGCTCGATCCGAGAGAAGAGTTCAAGTTCAAGTTTTGAAGATTGAGAATTGGTTTGTATGAAGCGTGAAGACACAAGAGAAGAGAAGATGATTGTGAGACTTTCATTGTAGGTGAAGCCAAGCATGTCTAACATGAAGATAGATGATTGATGGAATTTGAGTCAAGGTGAAGATTATTGGGAATATTGACTCAAATCCCATAAGAGATTTGTTAGAGATTTGTTTGAGATTTGTCAGATATTGCTTGATGGACAAGAAGACTTGCAAAAGAAGAATTCCAAGAGAAAGAGGATTTTTAATAGGTAAGTTTGACTTGCAAGAGAATAATTCTAAAAGGAAAGGGATTCTTAATAAGCAAGTTTGACTTACAGGAGAAGAATTCTAAGAGGAGAGGGATTCTTAATGGGCAAGTTTGTATGGTTATAAATAGGTGAAGTCTCTACAGGGTTAGGTATGAGAAAAAGATGTAAGAGAGTTGTAGGATTTTATGGGATAGACACCCCATAAGAGTATTGGGGCTCTATGGGTGTGTATGTTTGTTTGTGAGTGGACTAGAAGAGACTAAGAGGGTCCACATAGGTATGATGTATGGGAGCATATGGGTATGTGTTTGGTTATGTTGAAAGAGTGCACAAGAGTTTGGGTTTGTGTTTGTTTGGGTAGAGAATACTTCATAG